TTCAGCCTTAACACTTTGTAAAAAGAGGTAAAGGTAATTATTCCAATTCAAAAATAATACCCTTTATTTCTTTCTCTTGCCTGATTGCCCTGGCCAGAACTTCCAATGCTATGATGAACAGGAGTTGTGAGAGAGGGCATCCTTGTCTTGTGCTGGTTTCCCAGGGGAATGTTTCCAGCTTTTGCCCATTCACTATGACGTTGGCTGTGGGTTTATTACATGTGGTTCTAATTATTTTGAGGTATGTTCCTCCAATACCTAGTTTATTGAGAGTTTTTAACATGAAGCAATACCGAATTTTATGAAAAGCCATTTCTGCATCTATTGAGATAATCGTGTGGTTTTTGTCTTTAGTTCTGTTTATGTGATGAATCATATTTGTTGATTTGCATATGTTGAACCAATCTTGCGTCCCAGGGATGACGCCTACTTGATTGTGATGGATAAGATTTTTGACATGCTGCTGGATTTAGTTTGCCAGTATATAGTTAAGGATTTTTGCATCAACGTTCATCAAGGGTATTGGCTTGAAGTTTTCTTTTTTTGTTGTATCTCTGCCAGGTTTTAATATCAGGATGATACTGGCCTCATAGAAGGAGTTGGAGAGGAGTCCCTCCTCCTCAATTTTTTGGAATAGTGTCTGTAGGAATGGTACCAGCTCTTTTTTGTACATCTGCTCAAATTCAGCTGTGAATCTGTCTGATCCTGGGCTTTTTTTGGTTGGTAGGCTATTTATTACTGCCTCAATTTCGGCACTTGTTACTGGTCTGTTCAGGGATTCAATTTCTTTTTTTTTCTTTTTTTATTATACTTTACGTTCTGGGGCACATGTGCAGAACATACAGATTAGTTACGTAGGTATACACGTGCCATGGTGGTTTGCTGCAGGGATTCAATTTCTTCCTGGTTTAGTCTTGAAAGGGTGTATGTGTCAGGAATCTACCCATTTCTCGTAGATTTTCTCGTTTATGTACATAGAGGTGTTTGTAATATTCTCTGTTATTTGTATTTCTGTGGGGTCAGTGGTGATATCTTCCTTGTTATTTCTGATTGTGTTTATTTGAATCTTCTCTCTTTTCTTCTTTATTAATCTATCTAGCAATCTATTTTATTAATTTTTTCAAATACCCAGCTCCTGGATTCATTGATTTTTGGAGGGTGTTTTTTCTTGTCTTTATCTCCTTCAGTTCTGCTCTGATCTTAGTTATTTCTTGCCTTCTGCTAGCTTTTGAATGTGTTTGCTCTTGATTCTCCAGTTCTTTTAATTGTGACATTAGGTTGCTAACTTGAGATCTTTCTAACTTTTTGATGCGGGTCTTTAGTGCTATAAATTTCCCTCTTAACACTGCCTTAGCTATGTTCCAGAGATTCTGGTATGTTGTATCTTTGTTCTCAATAGTTTCAAAGAACTTCTTGATTTCTACCTTAATTTTCTTATTTATCCAAAAGTCATTCAGGAGCAGGTTATTCAATTTCCATGTAATTGTATGGTGTTGAGTGAATGTCTTAGTCTTGAGTTCTAATTTGATTACACTTACACTGTGGTCTGAGAGACTGTTTATTATTATTTCAGTTATTTTGCATTTGCTGAGGAGTCTTTTACTTCTCATTATGTGATCAATTTTAGAATAAGAGCCTGCAGCAATGAGCTACTGGTATGTTTTGGCTGTGTCCCCATGCAAATCTCATCTTGAATTGTAGTTGCGGTAATCCCCATGTGTCATGGGAGGGACCTCGTGAGAGGTAATTGAATCATGGGGGTGGTTATCCTCATGCTGTTCTCATGACTGTGACTGAGTTCTGACAACATCGGATGGTTTTACAAGGAGTTTCCCCACTTCACTCACTCTTGTTCCTGCTGACATGTGAAGAAGGATGTGTTTGCTTCCCCTTCTGCCATGATTGTAAGTTTTCTGAGGCCCCCCCAAGCCCTATAGGCTTGTGAGTAAATTAAACTTCTTTCCTTTGTAAATTACTGAGTCTCAGGAAGTTCTTTATACCAGCATGAGAATGGACTAATACAGAAGTACTTTCTGTTGTTTTCGGGTGGAGAGTTTTGTGCATGTCTATCAGGTCCATTTGATCTAGAGCTGAATTCAGGTCCTGAGTATCTTTGTTAATTTTCTGTCTTCACGATCTGTCAGTGGGATGTTAAAGTCTCCCACTATTATTGTGTAGGAGTCTAAGTCTCTTTGAAAGTCTCTAAGAACTTGCTTTTTGAATCCAGGTATTCCTGTGTTGGGTGTATATATATTTCGGATAGATTAGGTCTTCTTATTGAATTGAATGCTTTACCATTGTGTAACGCCCTTCTTTGCTTTTTTGATCTTTGTTGGTTTAAAGTCTGTTTTGTCAGAAACTAGGATTGCAACTCCTGCTTTTTTCCATTTTCCATTTGCTTGGTAAATCTTCCTCCATCTCCTTATTTTGAGTCTATATGTGTCTTTGTATGTGAGATGGGTCTCTTGAAGACAGTGTAGCAATGGGTCTTGGTTCTTTATCCAGCTTGCCATTCTGTGTCTTTTAATTGAGGCATTTAGCCTATTTACATTTAAGGTTAATATTGATATTTGTAGATTATGATCTTACCAACACGATGTTAGTTGGTTATTTTGCAGACTTGCTTATGTGGTTGCTTTATAGTGTCACTGGTTTGTGTACTTAAGTGTGTTTCTGTAGTGGCTGGTCATGGTCTTTTCTTTCCATATTTAGTGCGTCCTTCAGGAGCTCTTATAAGGCTCATCTGGTGGTCATGAATTCCCTCAGCATTTGCTTGTCTGAAAAGGATCCAGAAAAATGGGATACATTGGAGGTGTTTTAAGTATAACTATTCTCTTAAAACATTACAGCCAAATGACTTCCTTCCTTTCCTTTATTTATATGGTCCACGTAAGGTAAGAGTTTGTCCCCCAACTCAGCCATTTAATCATCCATATTGGTGAGAAGAACATACCACTCAGCCTTTTGTCTTCTTATGCCTTTTTGGGAGTTCATGAAATTTGCTAAGTGTGAGAAACTACTTTAAAGGCATTTCTCCTCACTATTACTTACTCCTGGAGCTATCTTTTTAGCACAGGAGCAGAGGGGCTAGAGATCCTGATAATACAATTATTTCACATCCCCTTATTCTCCTTCCCAATCATACAAGTGCTGCTAAGGTCCTTGATGTAACAGGTCAAACACTACCAGGGTTTGCTGCTGAGTCTAGCCTACCCTGACAGATCATTTCTTTGAACAAAGGAATATTTCTCCCAAGAGCACAATAGCATCCCTAAAGATTATATGACAGCTAAGAAGGCTTTGCCCGTTCAGAGCACACAGAAAAACAAAACAAAAATTATCTCTGGGATAGGAGCTAAGGAAATGGGTTTTGTCAAATCACACACAAATAATATTGATGAGTCTCAACACTGACACAACCAGAATGCCAAGTTAAAGGATACAATAAATATTTAGAAAGGAAATACCATATGTGAATATGCTAGGTTTTGTTTGACTTTGAAAACTGTATTGCATTTCATTTGCTGGGATGAAAAATTTTTTACAGAAAGAGAAAATATGAAAATAATAAGATGCCAAGAAAGAACTCACCATGTTTCTAAATTTTTCTTTCCGTAAAGGCACAAAGTGGAAGCAATGTATTCAAAATAACACAGGAGGCCTGCAACCTCAGGAATGTTGACTATTGATATCAAAGATTTGGAGGGCTTCTTTGAGAGTAGGCATCGGATAATCATGGGAAAGACGAAGCAAGAAAACAATACACTCTGAGTGAAGGGAAGACCATACAAAGATTGAAATTGGGTCACCATGGAGAATTTCAGTTCTTACATGCAATTTAATGACAAAGTTATTGCTAGTCATATTCTAAAAGTTAATCTCCATTACAATAATCTCGTAATCAGCTTCATAGATACTAACAGACACATCTTATTATTTTGTCTCTATCAAGTTTCTAAAAGAATGTGGAGGGAATCCACCAAATCAAACAATATTTGGCACAACCAGTCACCTGGAGAATACACATTTGGGGCATAATAAGTAACAAAAAGGTAAATTAATATTATTCAATGTTTATTGAAATATTGATATGTATATATATAAATTCAAGTCTTTTAGAGGTAGAAGTTTTCCAAATCTGCTCCACTCGGTCTTTCATCAAATCTCTTTTCTTGAGTGTTTGCTCCATTCTTTTCTACTTTGCATAATGCTTCTCTAAAATCTTTCAGTGTTTATTTCCTTTTCCATGAAAAAACATTTTGTTACATTAAATCGATTGAGAAAAGCAATGAGATTTCTTATAGCACATGAAGGTAGAGTCTATGGCCTAAGCATATGCAGTCTGTTTTTATTAGCACAATAATTTCATTATTTGGGATATAGGAATGACTAAAATTTGCATAATTCATACAAATAAGGCAAAGATAGTCAATCAGGATACACAAATTATTTTCCTAGAGTTCAATGTTTTAAAAAAAACAACCACAACAGCTAAATCAACAGCTAATGATCAGACGACAGGATGACAAACCATAAATATATCCATAAACATATGCTGGATATCACTACAGCCTTCAAGACATGTGGTCTTCCTCTTTTTATTTTTTTTCTATCTTTTTGATGACATGTGAAGGTAGACCTACACAAACTTTCCTTCTAAAATATACATCACTTCCAGTATTTCAGTGTCCCCTGAATCTCAGACTCATTTTACAGGAGTAGCAATTTCATATGCTGTAGAAAATAAAGAATAGGAAAGGGGAACACAGGAAAAATGTATAAGTCATAGAAATGTCTTATGATGTGTCAATAAATTAGTTTGGAAACCCACTTGTTAATCCTATTCATCCCCCCAAAAATATTGCATAGGACCTATAATTAGGACCTATTATTATACACTGGTTTAATATTTATTGGGCTCCTACTTACCAGAGATGGTGGGACATTTATTATAAAATGTCAAAGTTCAGAATTCTTCAGAAAGTACTTTCTACTTAAAGATGCATTTGTCATTGAAGAAAAACATCTTACAAAGGAAGTTTAAAAGAGAACCCAGATGAATATTTTTTCAGATGGACCACAAATTAGTTCTGATTTCAACATGTTCTACAACTCCCCAGAGCTGAGAAGCTAAAGACAGTTCTACAATATCATATTCCAAAGGCATCACAGGGCTTTGCTACTAATGCAATAAAGTGGTTTTTGTCTTGGAAGCAAGCAACATCATGAATAACATTGTCATCAAGAAACAATGAGCCAATAAGCACCATTTTGTGTTGTAATGAAGCAGGCTTGCTTGATTGTGAATGCAGATTTGCCTACTTCACTTAAGTTGACATTTTGTACAGACTAGAAGAAATGTGTGGTATGAGATCAATAAAGAAGTAACTAGAAGTAAAAGGCTCTTAATGATTGTAAATGAAGCTGAGAACAAAAACTTAGATCTCAATAACCTAGAGTTATGACTCTAGGGCTATGGTCTGTTAACATCTGCTTCTTGGGTAGGAATGTTTTTCTTTCAAAATAACACTGCTACATGAATCAACAGCTTCCAAAGGAACTATTTCATGCCATCCAACCTTAGGTCTCAGACCTGAAAAAGCTCATTGATCTTTGGTAAAGTCTCAGTTACATAAGTAGGAAGTTATTTTTAAAGCCATACCAGATGCTACAGTTCCTCCTCATTGCTCCCACATGGATGTGCACTGTTTACTCAGAATTGAGCCAAAAGCCCTGAAATAAGAAAGTTAAGTATGATTCCCTGACAAACCAAGAGAACAGAGTTGCACGCAATGGATCTGTAAATATTTCTTTTAGTTTTATTATTTGGCTGATGGCTTTTGAGCTGGCCACACTTGCATACACACACACACACACACACACACACACACACACACACACACTCAGAGATTTTCCTTAGGAGGCTCATGGTTTTCCTTCTGCAACTGACAGGAGAATTTCTTCCTAATTTAAATCATTTTTATAGCCTCCTAAGTGAGAACTAAAACATTTACAGATAAACTACAACCCTACCTCATCATTTTGCCAGGAGAAATGTAGACCAGTCCATGTTCTTCTGTCAGAAATAATCTTGGTAATATAAAAATGGTAATTAATTTAGTCAAATTGGAACTTATGTTAAAAGGAATTGTTATTATCATGCCTTATCCATGATTTGAAGAGTTTTTTATTATGTATTTTTTTTTCTGTAACTTGCGATTCAAATTTGATCTCTAGTAAAAGAAGCTAAAGAAATGTTCAATTACCAGATCTCACTGAGAAGGTAAGACTCTGACTGTATTTGGAGTTGTCAAAGACAAAATGTCAAAACTACATAGCTTTGTCTTACATTTCTCCAGAGAATGTATTTATTCGCTATTGTATCCTTAGTATCAAGAACAGTAGCTAGACAGTATTCAATAAATGAGTGAATAAAGGATTCATCCTCAGATATCAAAACAATCCCAATTTTTAAAGCCATAATTATTTATTTTTTATTTCCTAACAAGTCAGGTGGTGAGTATTGTTGCTTGTGTAAATCGTCGGTATTATCTCCCACTATACAGTTTTATGTTATCTCACCTCTTATTGCCTGACATACACTGTATTATTAATAAACACTATCTAGTACTATTATTTACCATTTCCATGTAGAACTACCAATATTATCATTTAGCATATTTTCATGTAGAATTACCACTGTATTTATAAATAAGGTTGAAGCACTCCTTTGCTTAAAATTTCCTGGAAATACCTGTACAATGCTTAGAACAAACATCAACCTCTTTGTCAAGGCTTAAGAAGCCATACACGATTAAGCTTTTTTGTTTGTTTGTTTGTTTTTGTATTTTGAACCTTATCACCTACCATTCTTGGTCTACATACTGAAGCACATTTTCACTTTAGGAATTCTGGCTTTCAATAAAGGCAAAGTAGCTTATATCAGACTAACCCTCCTGCTGATAACAATTAGAAAGTTGAGTGGAAAAAAAAACTACTATTCGAAGCCACTAAACAGTGACAAAATTGTCATTAACTAAAGGGGAATCAGTCTTTGGTAGAAGGAAACTCCACTGATGGAGATAAACACTTATATGCCTTTCCCTTGATACATACAGCTCAGGATAGCTAGAACTCAAACAATACATTATTACTGGAAAAATCAGATGAGAGATCTGGGGGCTGCCCGAGTGGCTGGATATTGAGAGGCAGAAATTCTGGAAAGGAGGGCATTACAGAAAGGAAAACCCCAAAATCTATGTATAACCCCCATTCAAACTAAACTGCCAACATTAAGGGTGAGACCCCAAGGAGCTTGCAGGAAGGCAGCAGTAAACATTGACTTTAGTGGATGCACACTATAGGAGACTCAAGATTTGGGAATTAGAGTTATATCAAGTTTGACTGGCTTATGAAGTACATCAGGATTTATATTAAAATCCCAGAAGAGGCTGGGTGTGGTGGCTCACGCCTGTAGTCCCAGCACTTTGGGAGGCCGAGGCAGGCAGATCACAAGGTTAGGAGATCAAGACCATCCGGGCTAACACACAGTGAAACCCGTCTCTACTAAAATTACAAAAAATTAGCCAGGCGTGGTGGCACGCGGCTGTAGTCCCAGCTACTGGGGAGGTTTAGGCACAAAAATCGCCTGAACTCGGGAGGTAGAGGTTGCAGTGAGCCAAGATCATGCCACTGCTCTCCAGCCTGGGTGACAGGGTGAGACTCCATCTCAAAAAGAAAAAAGAAAAAAAATCCCAGAAGAACCACACTTTAGGATTAAAGACTACAACCCGAGACTAAGTGATTGAACAACTTAACTGCCTGACAGAAAAAAACAATTGAATCCAGAGTCTCTATTGTATCAATACAATATCCAGTATGTAATCAAAAATGACTAGACATATGAACAATTAGAGAAATATATGACCCGCAGTCAAGAGAGAAAGAATAGTTAATATACTAAAACAAACCAGATCTTAGTATTAATAGACAACTTTAAGGTAACCCTAACAAAAAAGCAAGAGAATCTGAAGGAAAAGTTGAATATAATGAGATTAGGAAATTTCAGGACATATGTGAAAACTGTTAAAAAATGAACAAATAAGAAGTTTAAAACTGAAAAAATATATATCCAAAGTAAAAAATATATACATTGAATAAGATTCATACTGGATTGGATACAAGAAAACATTAGTAAACTTGAAGATATTCAAAATAAATTACGCATACTGAAGCACAAAGGGAGGCATGACTGAAAAACAGTAATGAGCAGAGCCTCTCATTAACTTGGGAGAGCAGTATGCCAAGATGTATGCTGAGAGCAGTTGGTTAACCTCATGGCAGAAAGGACCAGGGTACTCAGATTTTTAGGATGACAGCCCTTGTCTTCCTGAAAGCAGCTAACTCTTTTGGCACTCACAACTAAAGCTTCTGTGTACTGGAACTCAAGTCTGTTATGGGCAGAACAGAGGCTGGCTAGACTTCATCTCAATTCCCACTCCTACTGACCCTTCTTTCAGTCCATAGTTCCATTGGTTTGACATCTGCTTCTGCTGCTATGACAGATATCTGGCTCAACTTGTTTTCATGCTACACTGAAATCCTAAACTTCACAGCCTCCTTCCTGAGCACTGAGCAGTCTCATTGGCATGGCCTGGCCTAGAAAATGATACAGTTGCAACCAGAGGGGTGACCACTTTTCAGAATCACAAATGGGGAATAAGACAATACCTTCTCTTTGCCCGCCATCCCTTCCTACTGCTTTCACTCTTAATACCACAGGTACTCTATAACTAGTATGGAGAAAGGAAATCTGTCCTGTTTTCTCTGTGATCTCTAACAAAATTACCAGGCCAAGAAATAATATGTTTATATCCTGTATCTCTTCTCCTCTCCTTTCTGTCGTTAAGATTTATTCTGTGGCTTCATTGTCAAAGGCAGAAGGGGAAACTCCTCTATTCTACAAAAGAATGTTGCAAGTTTAACACCTGAGCTACTAAAAGCAAAAGGAGGATAGAGGACATTGGGAAATCCTATCTTAAGACAGTTGACTGGCTATTGTGTTACTTTATAATCTTATTTAGCAAGGAAGAATCTGACTGTATTGGTTCATTCTCAAGCTACTATTAATAGTAAAGACATACCCAAGTCTGGGTAATTTATAAAGGAAAGAGGTTTAATTGACCTCCACTTCTGCATGGTTGAGGAGGCCTCAGGAAACTTACAATCATGGTGGAAGAAGATGCAAACATGTCCTTCTTCACACCACAGCAGGAAGCAGAAGTGCAGAGGGAAGCAGGGAAATCCCCTGATAAAACCATCAGCTCTCATGAGAACTCACTCAGTGTCATGAGAACAGCATGGTGGGGCTGCCTCCATGATCTAATCACCTCCCATGAGGTCCCTCCCCCAACACATGGGAATTACAACTCAGATTACAATTCAAGATGAGATTTGGGTGGGGACATAGAGCCAGACCATATCACTATTATCTGCCTTTGTACTCCTTTTTCAGCAAATTCTGCTGTCTCTCTAGACAGAGGGACTGTCAAAGATTACTAGCACAAAGGTGGAGGGGGGTGGGAAGAATGAGGGGAAGTAAAATAATTCTTTTCTTTTTTTGAGACGGAGTCTCGCTCTGTCGCCCAGGCTGGAGTGCAGTGGCCGGATCTCAGCTCACTGCAAGCTCCGCCTCCCGGGTTCCC